CTCTCTCTCTCTCTCTCTCTCTCTCTCTCTCTCCATACTTAGTAACTTCATTGATTAGTCTATAATTCCAAGGATGTTATAGAAGAACAGTTTGATCTATAATCTTATTTATATAAAAGGAAGCATTCTCTTTGCAATCAGTGTTGCAATGCGACACGATCCATTGATTCTTCAATAAGGATCTTTATTGAATTAATTGAATTCACCAAAAGTGATAAGTCATTAGTCATGGTTTACACATGATAGCTGGCTTCCCAAACTAAGCCAATATCAAATAAATCACTTTCTGTGATAGAATTATATGTTTACAAAAGGGAAGTATTTGATGTATTTGAGCATACTTCTTTAGATGTGAAATGCTGTGATAGTTAGTTTAGCAGTGCAAAACTTCACACATTCACAAACCTCTACCTTCTGTACTATGTTGTTATGTACAAACACAGCATATGTCTTAATTTTTACAGTAACAGTGTTCTTGTGCTTTGTGGCAGTATACAATGAGCAACCTTACTTGCATAGGTTCTGCCTTTAATCAGATTGGTGTCTGTATATCTCCTTCTAAGTTTGGAAAACACAAACCCTGTGTTATAGCAGGGCCTAATGAAAAAATATCTTTATAATTTTTGTTCTTAAATACCATTTAAGCAGCTTGGAGGTCTGACATTTTTCCCTCCTTAGATATGACCAGATGAAAAATCTCTTTGTTTTTCATGTGGACCAAGAGCGCTCTCTAAAGCAGTGGTTCTCAACCTGTGGGTCGGGACCCCATTTGGGGTCGACCGACCATTTCATGGGGGTCGCCAAGCAAGGCTGTCCGCCATTTTTTTTGTCCGCCATTTTTTTTGTCCACCATTTTTCTCCCTTTTCTGGTGGGTGCCTTACCTCCCTTGGGCTGGGCCAGCTGGTGGTCTCTGCCGCTTGCCAGCTACGCCTCGGCCGGCGCAGGGGGCGGAACCACGCATGCGCGGCGCTCCCGGGCAGGGAAAGTCCTCGACTTACGACCGGTTGGGTAGTCCTCAACTTACGACCGGTTTAGTCCTCGACCTACGACCGGTTTAGTCCTTGACTTACGACCGGTTTAGTCATCGACTTACGACCGGTTGGGGTCGCGGCATTAAAAAGGTTGAGAACCACTGCTCTAAAGCATCTGGCATATAGATCTCATGAAAAAAAAGGGATGCATTCACCATGATGGAAAGGGTCAGAAGCTCAGAGTTAAACAGAGAAGGTTATGACCAGATTAATTTTAGCCAATATCTTTTATAAGGAAACTCTTGGAAGAAGGGGTATACCGGTGAGCTTTTAATTTATTTTCACTCCCAGATGGTGATGAATGATTTGGATTCCATGTTTGAAAACAACCTCCTTAAGGTTTGTGTTGCTCCGTTTTTAAAAGTGTGCCATTGTACAGTAGAACTAAGGAATATCACTGCATATAGCAGAGCTGTTCTGTGATGGCTAATTTATTTTATTTCTCTCCAACCCCTCAATCAATTGTACTTATTATAAACAATTCCAATTGTTGCATTTCAGAAAACCATTCCAGTGTTCTGATGGCAGATACCAGTAAACAGATAGGATCAGATTTGGGGTTTGATATTCCTCCCCTTTTTTGTTTTAATAGATTCTGTGCCATCTTAGTGACCACTTAGATCTACCCAATTCTGTAATAGCTTTGTTCCCTATGCCATCCGTCTGGTAAACACAAGATTCATTTTTCTCGCCATGCACATGTATACATAACCTGAACTAGACTGTTGTTTCTCTGTGTCATATAATATATGTGGGTATATGCATAATTCTGTATTTATTTATTTATTTTTGTCATATTTATGTAGTGTATATCGGAGGTGGTGACCCTTTGAGAGCTGTATACAATGAAATTTCATTTTGATGTATGCCGATTAGTATACATTCAAAGTGACAATAAAGTTATTATTCTATTCTATTCTATTCTATTCTATTCTATTCTATTCTATTCTATTCTATTCTATTCTATTCTATTCTTCTACAGGTCCTTTTTCATTCAGAGAACATTTTTAAAAGGCTGGTTTTACTTTCCCGGGCAATGAGTTCTCAGAATGTTTACAATTTTTTCCCCTATTTGTAGCCAAGAACAGTAATTGGATATGCAACTGATAATGCCCCTGGGTGCATCTGGACTAAATTAACTAAAAATCCTACATCTCAGTTGCCTTTCCAGCAGTCAAGAATGTATCCAGCTCTCAGGCCATTTCCTAATTGGCTGCTCCAGCCCTTAATCTCATCTAAGGGAAGTCTCTACAGAGCGATAGGATTCAGAAGTACAGGTAGTCCTTGGGTTATGACCATTTACTCAACAGCCCTGTTCAAAATTACAACGGCACTGAATGAGGGGGACTTATGATGGACCCTCAGTGTTCCTGCCATTGCGACATCCCCACAGTCATGTGATTGCAATTTCCAACATTCCCCACCAGCTTCCCACAAGCAAAGTCAACAGGGTGGCCGGCAGGAAGTTGGAAGTTGTATTCATGTGAGGTCCTCACTTAAATGACCTGCACAGTCCTGGTTTAATGACAATAGGGACTGCTGGAATTGCCACTGTGAAGCGATGCATCACATGTCATGGTTTATGACCACATCACTTAGTAACAAAGTTCAAGGTCCCATTTTGTCATATTTGTTGTAACTTGAGGACTACATGTGGTTTGCTAGGGATTAGACATAGCAATATTGTAATGACATTAGTCACACAAAAGAAGTAAGTCTGCATTGATTCATGTGAAATGAACTAGGATTTTTAACTCATGTAAATGATATATAAGAGAGTCAGTGTGGTGTAGTTGTTATGGTGCCAGATAGAAACTGGGAGAGTGTGTGTTTTTGTCCCATCTTAGGCACAAAGCCAGCTTGGTGACCTTGACCCAGTCACTTAGCCCTAGGAAGGAAGCAGGGTCAAACCACTTCTAAAAAATCTTGCAGGGACATGTCCAGACAGTTGCCAGGAGTCATCACTGATTCAAAGGGACAAAAGAAAAAAAAAGATATTCAATTACCTACATGTGCATTCCTTCCCATAATAAAATAATATCTGTGACCAATTCATCTAGGTCAGGCAAACTTGTTTGAGAAAAGAATTTGTGATTTGGGCATTCATATCTAAAAGGCTCCTTTTTTATTCAGGACTATGCACTTAATTCACACATGACACGTCACAATGTGGCTTGCGTTTTTGCCATTGTGTGAAGTGTAGACCATAGAGACCATAAACATCGTAAAGTCTTTAAAAAAGTGTTTTGAGTGTCTTAAGATGGGTTTCACCAAATATGCTACAGGATCAAAACCAAGCCATTTGTATCAGTATTACAGGTAGCCCTTGCATTATGACAGCAATCGGGATGGGATTGCTGTTGCTAAGTGATACAGTCATATAACGCATGATGTCATCAGTTAGCAATCCCAGGGAATCCGGTAGCCATGGTAATCCCAAGACCGGCAGATCTTTAAGCAGGAAGAGGGCTGGAGTCCCGGGTAAGGCATGTGGGGGTGTTGCGGGGGGGAGGGGAGGAGGCCACAGAAGAGCCAATGCAGGCCCCACACAATTTGCAGGAGGCTGGGGGAAGAGTCTGGAAGCACTGGCGCAGGCCACATGCAAGTTAGGGAGTTGGTGCTGCATGAGGGAGTTTCTGTGCAGTTACCAGGGTTGTCAACCAAGACCAATTATGGACAGTCATTGCCAGCAGAGAATCTTTAACAATAACAGAGTCTTAAAATTTAACTTGAAATAGCCCATCAAGAGGTTCTAATGACTGTAAAGTTCATCCAGTTACTCAGGGAAGCGTATTAATTACATAACCAAGGGAAGGATCCCGTCTCTACAAACAATATATGACTGACTGTTGATCTGACAAGGGTTTTCAGACTAGCCATTCGCTTTTAGGAGTCTGGTTGCCCACAAGCTTGTTGAAACCTCCAAAATCTAAGACTAGTTGGATTAAGACTAGTTGGATTAAGACTAGTTGGACGAAGAATAGGGGAACCTGAATTCTAATCTTACTTTGGGTACAAAGTTCAGCTGAATGACCTTGGCAACAAGTAGTCCTCAGTTTATGACCATTTAATAATGGTTCAAAGTTATGTCGGCCTCAGAAAAAAATGACATATCACCCATCCTTGAAGTTACAACCACCTCTGTGATCATACCTCACACCACCTCTGTGATCACATGATTGCAAGTTAGATGTTTGACAACTGGCTCATATTTACAAAGGTTGCAGGTCTTGTGGGACACGAGATCATGATTTGTGATCTTCTCAGTCGGCTTCCAACAAACAAATCAATTGAGGGAGCTGGATTTGTATAACAACCATATGATTCACTTAATGACCAGGTGATTCACTTAATTACCATGGTGATTTGCTTAACAAATGTGGTAAAAATGATGGTAAAAATCAGGCCCAGTCATGTAATGGCTTGTTTAATGGCTGCTTCTAGTGACTGAAATTCCAGTCCCAATTATCATAAATTGAGGCCTACCTACAGTCATTCTCTCCCAACTCTAAGAAAAAAGCAGTGGTAAGCTACTTCCAAAAATGCTACTTAGAAAATTCTCTGGATTTGTCCATATAGTCATCCGGAATCAAGTCTTAACTTGAAGACGAAAGGAAAGGAAAAGAACTAAGATTTTGCATGTTCTGTGTAACTAATCCAATGTTCTTCCTGGAAGCCAGCCTGTATAAACTAGTCAGATTAATTTGAACTCCAGAGTTGGAAAAATAAAGATAGGGCTAATAAATCTGTCCCAAAAAAATGTAGCTGACCAGAAAAGTTTTAGAGTCTTCCATCTAATGGTTATCAGTATTTTTGCAACACAGGTATAGCATAATATTTATAAATGTTAATACAGGGCCTGAGAAAGGGCATCTGTGTTTGGATCTCCCTATTTGCAGTCAAAGGCTCCTCTGCCCTAAGATAAGGAGATCCAATCCATTCTATAGATTTGAGGGATACTTTCCAGGGTTGTAACTATAACTAGTTTAATTTCTTCATTCTTGAGATGGAACAGAAGAGCATCAGGAAAGAATCCTCAACACCTGCCCAGCCATTCCCAGAATGTTCTAGGGAAGAACACCCAAAAAAGGAATCTTGCTGCAGCACTCGTAAGATAAAAGTTAATTTTATCAGCAACTGTAAAAGCTCTCTTGGCTTTTAAGATGGGATTTCCCCTCCCTCCTCTTTATGGCCTCTATTCAGGGTGTTGTTTCAAAGTAATAGAAGTCCCGCTGCTTACCATGGCAGCTGGATACAGTGGTTCAGTGAATGTGGTTAAGAAACGGTAAATGAGGTTTATAGAACTGGTGATGCCGTAGAAGGTCAGGGAGCCTGCAGCATAGTCCAGGAGAACCCCAATGGTCTTGTAGTAGTCACCACGCAGTACAGTCTGCATATTATTATGCCAGACAGAGAAATTCACTGAGTCCCACTCCAAGCACCATGAATAATTATTCCTGCCAATCAGATACAACATGCACGATTTTTCAGTCCTATGCTGGTAGCTGTAGGCAACGCCTAGGCATAGCCAGCCATTTGAAATCTCAGCCTCCCAATAATGGCAGCCCTCACAGAGGCTGCGGGTACCGAGCAGTTGGGGCCAGTGGTTAAATCCAGGGGTGGGTTTTGAATAGGTATCCAACAAAATCCCCATGTTCAGCACAGAGTGAGTCTCTTTAAATAGGAAGAGCTCTTCGTTGGCAGTGGTGGCATCAAAATTCAGGATACAATAGTCTGTTTCATGGAAAGGAAAAAAGAAAAGATTACATTTTGTCAGTCTAGGTCAATCCACAAGAAGGATGAGAATGCCAGGAAAATTTGAATAGACTAGGAGGTAAGGTTAGTTTTATTCTAACACAGAGAACCCCCATTTCTTCTTGAATATTACCCTCAGATATTGATGAATCTGGGAAATAAGACATAGATAAGAGTCTTCAGTCATAATGTATTCCATATTTTTGCCAGCTGTGAGCAGCCAGTGCAATGTAGCAGCTAGAATGCTATACACAGAAAAAAATCAAGGATCAAGCCCCTACTTGACCAGGACCTCACTGAGAAATGAAAACTGGAACTTGTTCTTAGTAGAAAGGCAGGAATAATAATTATGATCAGCCTAAATCAAACCACTGCAGGATGACGGACTCTTCATTGAAAGTCATGGACTGTTATCTAGCATGTTAGTCCAGTGCTGTTTGGTAGATAAGATATTTTTCATCTTCCCAGTCTAGGCTGACAGAGTTCCTGGCCAAAGTCACACAGACAGTTTTTGTGCCCAAGCAAGGATTAGAACAAAGATCTCCAAAATGGTCAATATTGACCCCTAAGAGTCAATGGGATTGTGAAAGATTTTTTTTATTATTTTATTATGTTATTTGTATTATTTATAGTACTATTAGTTAATGTAGTATTATTCCCACATATTAAAATATGTGGATTGATGAACAATCCGACATTTCATGAAGGAGTCAATGAGGTGAAAGGTTTGGGAATTCCTGAAGTAGAACCACTTTTCCTATCACAAGTCCAGCACCTTAATCCCTACACAATACTGGCTCTTGCATATATAAATGTGTGTATGTGTGGAGGGAAGTAGATAGGGAGTGTTAGAAATAAATATTTTTTTTAAAAAAATTAGATCCTGGTGGGGTTTACATGTCATGCTAAGCGATCATGTGGTTAAATGTAATTTGTGATCCCAGCCATTGTGGCTGTTAAATGCAAACTATATATTAATGACTCATTCAGAGGGTCATGGTTAAGAAATTTAGTCTTAATATTAGCCATCATGATTATTTGCAAAGGGCAGTTAGAGATAAATATGCACACACCCTCTAGGGCTCATGAAGGACCGATGTATGTAAGGGGATGAGAAAATGCATTCTGACATGCCATATAAATGCATTCTGACATGCCATTCTGACATGCCATAGTGGGCTTGCTTTGCCCACAATTATAACCAAACTTTTAAGATCCATAGTATGTAAGCTCATACAAAACAGAATGTAAATGGTTAAAAAAACTAAAACAAACAAGCTAAAACTAAGCTCAATATAAACAGAAGCAAAATGTCCAAACTGTTCTACAGTATTGCAGTACAAATACAATTACGTTTACTAAGTCTCAATTTTTAAGCAAGTTAAACCATGACCATGCAGAATTATATTGTCCAGCCTTTCCTGATAAAAGACCAGTTCAGAGGTTCAGAGTTCAGAAAGTGCAAAGGTAATAAATGGGTTTTTATGCCACTTCCTAAGCACAGCAGTCATCTCAAAGCAATTTACAAAAACAAGGTATCATATTAAGGTTCAGTGATACAACATAATAAACCAAATAACCTTTAAAAGTTGGCAGGAGGGAAAGGAAAAACAAAATAAAATTTCAGTGGACAGTGTGGCTCTTGGTGTCCTCATGTGGGTTAGGAAGTTTGTGAACTGTGAAACCAACTGATCCAGAGGGCACCAAGATGAGAAAGGATTCCCTTCACATTTGAAACTCTTACACATTCCAGTAGAGCTTCTGAGAAGACATTGAGTTTTGAGAAATTGTCCTAGCAGTTGGAGGAAGGAAAAGGACTCATCTAAAGGGAAAGAGCACCAGATGTCCTACTTAAGGACATAGCTTCTCCTGGAAGTTCATTGTCCAGGACTACAGAAAAACAGCCTCTTTTAACAGTCAATAAATCAGAGGTGACTTTCACTCCAAGTAAAGGCAGGCAGCTTAAACCAAGTTTAAGCAAGCTGTCCATAAACATATTTTGGACTGCAACAGACTTTGTGTGCCATATACAAACAACAAAAAAATTGTTGCTGAGAAAAATAGCAAGCACATCAGGTGATTAGGAAGACTATGGTAGCAACTTAAGCAGGAGAAGGAAGCCAGAGAACCAAAAACCAATATTATATTTGACTTTGTCTCCTCGCCAGTATTTGAAAATACAGGAGAGAGAGAGAGAGAGATGGAGGACTTCTGAAAAAAAGTCTTTTCTCTATTCTGTTTTGTAACCAACATAGTTTTACTTCCAACATAGAAACCTACCTTGTTCTCCTTGAGAACTATTATTGTTATTATACTTTCACCTATCTATCTATCTATCTATCTATCTATCTATCTATCTATCTATCTATCTATCTATCTATCTATCTATCTATCTATCTATCTATCTATCTATCTATCTATCTATCTATCTATCGACCTACCTACCTACCTACCTACCTACCTACCTACCTACCTACCTACCAAAGACTCCAGCAGGACTATAGGTTCAGAAGAAGCCTATGTAAATGTACAGTACATGCAGCTGGGCAGATTTTATGAAAAATGGTCATAAGTCACTTTATTCAGTGCCACTGTAACTCTGAATGGTCACTAAATGAATGGTTGTAAGTCAAGGACTACCTGTAATGTGTGAATTGGAATTAAGTTACACCTAGATCCAGCTGAAAATCAAGTGCAGTTCAAGATGGAAAAAACAGTGATCAAAGAATCCAGCCCTTGTCACTACCCTACTCTATAGTTTATTCTGAACTATCACATTAGGAGGAACTGCTGTAATACCTAGTTGCACATCACTTGGCAGCTAATATATTATTAGATTTTCTTTTGGCCAACATGATATACATAATGTTTCCTATTCTTAATTTCTCCACAACAACTCTGTGGACAGTTGGGTTGGAGTGAGAGAGAGTGACTGGCTCAAAGTCCCCCAGACAGCTTTCCTGCCAAACAGAGAACTGGAACTCATATTGTCCTGATCTGTATGCCCAGCCCACCATACCAAATTGGTGATTTATTGTCTGCATCATCGTCCCTCAAATACTTTACATCCCAAATGCTGATCTTTGAAAAGAGGAACTAAAATGAGAGGAGCTGATTATTGCAGTGAAATCCATATACTGTTAAAGGGCTAAAGAACTACCCAAAGTGATAACTCTGTCATCAGAATTAGAAGTCTCCATTTACTCATTATCATTTGCCCATTATTGTTTTCCTGTTCCTTCTGATAAGGTTTCATACATTTTTTCAGAATTCACAAAGCTGAGTAAATTTTATGGTTCTGTCTCTCAACATTCCTGTCTTGAGAGGATTATTAGAATGTTAATTTAAACTCTGGCATATAATTAGAGTACAAATTTGTCAGAAGTGAAAGATCTTCAAGAAAAATCAAGAAAGTCCAGTTGCCTTTTTTTGAAGCACCTTTGGGACCTCAGTCACGCTGATGTTTCCTTCCTTTGCCTTAGAAGCAGTACAAATCAGAACAGGTTTTCACTAAGCATGAGCATGTTTCCTAACAATAAACATTAATTTTCTGGTAGGATTAAACTAGGGATGACTGATTTCCCTCATGTTTCATGTTCTTTATCTTTTGCACCCTGAAATTAGATTCTGTGAAAGAACACATTCATTACCCTCCCAGAAGATTCCTTCAATCCTAAATTCAGAAGTCTGGTGGCATCTTTTCAGACAAACAATTATTATTAAAAGGCATAAAATAGCTTACAAAAGCTTACATTTTTTAAAACAAAATTAGTAAGTCTGAATTTTGGTTACCATAGACCAGGGATAGGCAACCTTGGCTTTTTTATGACTCGTGGACTTCAACTCCCAGAATTCCTGAGCCAGCATGGCTGGCTCAGGAATTCTGGGAGTTGAAGTCCACGAGTCATAAAAAAGCCAAGGTTGCCTACCCCTGCCATAGACTAACATGGCTTCCCTTGTACAATGTTCATCTGCCTTAAGCGTTCTGGTCATCTGAAGAGATACTATTGTAAGAAGGTTACTTGCCAAGATCTGACAGTCAACAGCATTTCGGAGGGCAATATTGGGGAAACAATATCGGGGAAACAATATTGGGAAAACAACTAAAAATACCTACACTTTAGAAGAGTCTTCCGATCTGTGGGTGTGGGTAACAGTTCATATGGCACCATTGTGATTCCTGAAAGAGTAAAGATATTTGAGTTCTTTATTTAGTACCTGTTTTTAAAATGTATTCATTTATTTATTCAATGTATGTATCGGCAATTGATCCATGATTCAGGGTGGTATATACAACTAAAAGGAACAAATAACAAACAACAGGGCATAACATAGAACAAAACATAGTGAGCCACAGTCAGTTCAGACAACTGAAACCATTGAGAGTGTCTCATAAAGCCAGGTTTTCAGAGCCTTTCAGAAAGAAGATAGGCGCGGGGCCATCTGGATTTCAGAAAGAATGCTTTTCCATAGGGCAAGTGTGGCATCTTCGAAGTGTCTGAGAACTGGACATGAAAAAAAGACCTAGCAAACTAGCAGGGAATACCAAGGCTATAAATTAGACTGGGGTGTAAAAAAACAAACCAACAAACCAGAAAGTGACAATGGTTAATCACATATGTTGTTGCCACCTTAATTTCTATGTCCATATGGTCATTAGGAGCTAAGCTCAGCTCAAGAGCCATCACTTTTTTTAAAAAAGTCTTCCTTCCTGACTTACGTATGGCATTTGCAATAGTGGCAAATATCTGTAGCTCGAGGGTAGGATGAGGGTGAAGGTTCACCCTCATTACTTATAGCATGTCAAGAATGAACTAGCTGCGAGGCAACTTCAGTTTTACACTCCTGTTCTCAGAACACTGGCCATTTTTCATGTCCATTTTTCAATGATGCAGTCTTACCCTGCTGTTTTCAGTACCACAACACACACACACCCAACACAGAGGAGAAAGAAGGCAGCGAGGCTCAGGAGACCTGACAGAGCAAAAGCTGGGTTCCACCAAGGGTTGCTATGGTGGATGGAAAGGCTATCTGAACAGATGGTGTTCATTAAAAGTGCTAAATTCCCAGGAGTCAGTCCTGAAAAGTAGTCTACTTAGCAAGAGAAACATAATCACATCTCATTAGTTGGAAATTAAGATAAAGGGCTTTTTCTGCACTGCAGGCTTAAGCTTTGTCTCCCATGTGTAAACTGGCTGCAAATGAAGCTGGTTTAAGAAATCCCTTCTGTATATCAATCCCATCCTCCATTTTGGGCACGATGATGGCCTGGATTAACCATCCCATGGCTCTCAACTAATAGATTCCCTGCATCTTTACTTCTCCTGCCTGGGCCAGGAAAACATGTTCCTGTCTGTGGATGGGTCTCTGAGAACATGTGATTTCCATTAATCGTTTGTACGAGTCTCCCTTCACTGACTTCTCCTTCTTCTTGACTTTTTAAAAAAACAAAAGAAAATCCCAGTTTTTCCTATTCTTCCTATTGCTTGGGATAGAAGAGAAATGTGGCAAAACCTTTTTTTTTAAAAGTCCAATCTTATAGGATGTTTTTTGTAGTTTCACTAGCAAAATTCTTTGTTTTTCTTTTAAAGGAAAGGCCCCCTGAACAGCTTTCCTTCAGGAAGAGGGTACAGTACTTGTTTCTAGTGGATATCTTTTCTCTGAAATCAGTCATTGCTGGTATGGTGGGGAGACCACACTCTAGATCCTTGCTCTGTGGAATTCCTCAAAGCTGTCTCCATTCGTATAATATCTACATGAGGCTACTTAGGGAGGCCATCTGATGACATGGAGTCAGGTACCACCACAAGACCTAATGGCTTATTTTGATATCTGGCTGTCCTAGTGAAGTCATTGTGCTGTCCTACACTCTCTCTCTCTCTCTCTCTCTCTCTCTCTCTCTCTCTCTCTCTCTCTCTCTCTCTCTCTCACACACACACACACACACACACACACACACACACACACACACACACACCAGTGGTTTAGTTGGTTTATTAGTATTCCCCAGCAATTCCCTTCACCAAAGCCCCAAAACTGTCCCCAATTAAATCCAGCAAAAAAGCACACCAATGCTAGTCCACAGAACAATGGCCAATGAGTCCGCAATCAAGCTAAACCCACCAGGCAAAATTAAATCCCCAATACAAGCAGGTTCACGAGACAAGCAAAGTCAGGAATTCACAAGGCACAATCCAAGTCAAGGTATCAATCCAAAGCAAGGCCGGAATCACACTAATCAGGAAACACACAACTAAGAAATGAACACACTGTTCCCAGCATCACCTTCATCTGTGTGCTGTGCTAAATAGCCAGCTTCTGGGGTCGCCCATCAAGAAGGGTGAGGCTGCCTCCTCACAAGTAATCAGGCTGACCTATGCTGCTCTTGCTTTTTCTCTGCCCTACCTGTTCTCGGAACAGGTGCAAAAGGCTGTTCCTCTTCCTCATCACTGAGTGGTTGCAGCTGTGTGCTTTTCCCACCTGAAGCCTCAAGGCTGTCCTGCTGCAGCTGAGCTTCAGCCAAATCCCTCTTAGATGGCTGCTCAAAGCCATTGACCAACTCCCCTCCAGACCTGCCCGGAACTGGTTCATCCTCCTCCCAGTTGACATCTGGAGAGATATCTGGGGAAGCATCTGAGGGAGTCATAGATAGATAATGTTTATTGTCATTTTTTACTGTGGGCACATTGGCACACATTAAAAATGAAATTTAGTTGCTTGCTCTCAAAGTGTACACATACAAAGCACATTTAAACATGCTATATACAACATGTATAAACCCACACCCTTACATATAAATAACTTATATATTAATCACTATCCATCTTGAATACATAACACAAAGAGGAAGCTTTAGAGTTCACAAGGTTAATACTGTATGGAACGAAACTATGACTGAATCTGGATGTTCTGCTTCAGATTCCAAGGAGCCTCCTCCCTCATGGAGGTGTTCTCCCAATATTTGGAAGTTATTTAGATCTAGATGGGGAGGAATAGGCTTAAGTTCAACCTGAGCAAGACTGGCTTTGGGTCCAAGGATTTGCTGTGCTCAGGAATTTTGCATCTTTAATTCTTGATGGTGTTGCATTCTCTAGACCAGACATGTCAAACTCGCGATGTCACGTGACGTCACGCGACGTATCGGAGCTTTTTTGCCATTGCTGGCAATGGAGTGGGCGCAGTTCCGGTATAATGAAACCGGCCCGCGGGCCGACAGTTTGACACCCCTGCTCTAGACAAAACCTCTGTGCAATTTGGAAGTCCTCATAGATTATCAGCTTTGCTTGAAGAGCTGTTACCAATAGGATTCTGGGTGAAAGGTAAGATGGTTGGTGTCAACTTTAAAGCCTTATATGGCTCAGGGCCCAGCTATCTTCTATGGCACCTTTCTCCAAATGTTTCTGCCTGTCCCTTTCTCCAAATGTTTCTGCCTGTCCCCTGCTATGGCCCCTTCAAATAAGCAATGCCATCTCCTGCCATCCCAGAGTTATGTCTTCTTTGTTATTGCTCTTGTCCTTCCTGTATACTCTTCCCCAGAGGTCTGTTTGCTCCATTTCTGCTCTGCTTTACAAAAACATTGAAACCCTGGCTTTTTTAATAGGCCAAAAATCAAAAGTATTTGTGAACCCATTGAGAGAGGGCTAAAGCTGGTTTTTTTTTAAATGTATCTCCCTCAAGACTCATAACAAAGGCTGCAAAACAGTGTCTAGAAACTAGCACTCCCACATATACAATCCAAAGTATGGATGTGGTATGTAGACAACATGAATAAAACATCATAATAAAAAAGGAACTAGAGAAGGCACATGAAACAAACAACATCTTCAAAGGGAAAAAATCACAAGGGAAGAAGAAAATAACAACACACTGTCCTTCCTGAATATCATCCCAAAGGTGCTTTTTCAAGAGGCAACTGGTCATTTGCATTAGAATATAAATCCTTCCATTCCCCGCCATCCAGTCAGAGCTGACAAAGCTTCTTGGATGAGAAGCAAAATGTCTTCAAAGAAAAACAAGAAAGGCCAGTTGCCTCTTGAAAAATCATCTTTGGGACAACCATGACCTGGATGACTGAGAATCTCCATTGACACTTCCTGAATATCCTCAGCAGCAGCAGAAATGATAGCAAACTAGTCTATTGAAGCACAACCCATATTAATCAAGTGTTCCATTACCAAAACAACAATCCAACATTCTTTAAGAGGAGCTGTATAAGAATATTATTTGTATCACAAGAGTCTAAATACACTGCAGCAATTTGGAAGATCAGAAAATGGAAATGGTCTTCCTGTACAACATCTTCCAGCAAAATGGATATACATGGACCTTTATCAAAAAATGCCTGACCACTGAACCCACTACAGTACAACCAGCATGAGCTATGAAAAGGTTAACACTACCATACATCAAAAACATCTCAGAAATTACAAGCATACTAATACAGCCACATGGCATATCGAAGCAGACTAACCAACTAAAGCCCTCTAGAAGATCTGAAGAAGATTAAAGAGGATTCATCTTCAACATACAGTATAAAGACTGTAACAAATAATAGGTAGGACAGACAGAAGGTTAGCAGAGCACATCCTTGAACATCAAATAGCAATCAGAAGACATTTTGAAAACCGTCTTAATCTCACAACACATGGACAGATTCAACCATAGTTTCAACTGGGAAAATGAGCATTCTAGGCCAAGATAAATCTAGAAATGCTAGGAAAATCCTGAAAATTTGACATTCAGATAAATCAGCCATCATCAGATATTTACCGGTAGGGATAAATCACATTTACATACTATTCAAAACAGACAATAAAAAACTTAAGAGGGAAACAAAAAGATCAAGACACACCTTCAGCAGCCTACACCAAAATAAGCAGGGATTAATACCAGGAAAAATGAAAGAGAAAATAATATCCTAATCAAGGAACCAAGCAAATAACCAAGCTCAAGAGAGCACCAAGGACTCTATACTTCAATCTTGAGCTACGGTACATATATTCTCTTCTATTTTTGCCGGTGTTTATTTTTAATTTATTTTTCTCTGCATTTTCATTTCTTGTCAGGGTTGTTTTCCTTTCGAGTAAATGCATTATTTTAAGCAAAGTGTTCAAAGTACAATGCCCCACATGCAAATGTTTTCTTCCCACTAACATCATATGGAAGGATTTCCTGTTTTTGAGACAGAAGTGATTGAGTCATGTGATGAGAAGAAATTCATTTGAACATGCAAGAAGATCACGCTCAAACTTTAGTTTACTTACCCTTCTGAAGGATTTTATTGATGAAACAGAGTCCAATCATTGAGATTTGGGATTTCAAGTCACTCAGTGTCTGTTTAATCCCCACAAAACTGGTGAGTTCCTCACATTTCAGCCCAATCAAAGCTTCTGAGCAATCAGTTATGGCCTTTATTTTTGGGAAGTCCTATAGTAACAAACAGTGTTGAAGAGAGCTGACAGTTCAGCAAAATCTTTTCATAACAGTCAATTTGGATATTGGAGCATGGGGATTAGCTTTTTTCCCTTTGTGTATGACCCTTCTACATGACACTATTTCCACTTTCTAATGCCTAGAGTCAGAAATGGGACAACTGTGCTTCCATAGCCTGCCAAACACAAAAACTCTACTGGGTTACTTGGGAACTTAGATCTAAGGTGATTGAACAAAAAATGAAATGCTAGATCACCGGACTTAACAAGAAATACAGAAAAAGCTGTTGGAAAGAAAAGCAGTAATTAAAAACAGTTCTACCAGGTTTTGGACCAGCAACCTTGTATTTTGAAGGGAAAGATTTTATCTCTTGTCCATGATAAAAGGCAGCTTTAAAAGTCAGAGAGAATGGTAAACATTGAGTTGCTTGAATGGAAATTGCTGCCTCTGCAAAGTAGCCAATGAGTAACTGAGGTTATCCTGCAACAAACTGAGATGCACTATCTGAAAACAAACAGTAGTGTGCAGTAGTATGGAAAGTCTGTATTGAAAGTCTAGACTAGAAAATACGCCCTAAAATTATTTTAAAACTGTATGGGGATTTAAGAGAAGGTAATGTCACCTATTTTACCCTTCCATAAATAGATGCCAGCCTATTCTGATGATGGATGAATGAGGCAATGTAGATAAGCTGCTTGATGTTGCACAGAAAGTGGTCAAAATGTTTTTTTCAGGAATAACAGTTTTCAGTTACTGAAAGAGTCCAAAAGAACATTAGCAAAAACTTCCTAACAGTATGAGTAGTTGGCGGACCAGTTACTTAAGGTGCTGGACCTCCCTTCACTGGTTAAGTTCCAGTTGAGAGTAGTCAGCCATCTGATGGGGATGTTTTAGTCTGGATTAAATTGACCAGGATGTTGGATTTAGTTACTGTACAGGTAATCCTCAACTTGCAACAGTTCATTTAGTGACTGTTCAAAGTTAATAGCCGCCCTGAAAAAAAATGACTTATGACCATTTTTCACACTTATGACCATTGCAGCATCCCCATGGTCACGTGAGTTACATTTGGATGCTTGACAACTGGTTCATATTTATGACAGTTGAAGTGTCCCGGGGTCATGTGATCATCTTTTGCAATCTTCTGACAAGCAAAGTCAATGGGGAAGCCAGATTCACTTAACAACTGTGTTACTAATTTAACAGGATATGTAGTCTCAGTTACAATATGAAAAGTGAACTTTTACCTGCAAGAATTGAAAGTCACTTGGATCGTCCATCAGGTTTGTCAACCACAGCTTCTGCTTCTTAAGATCTGCAAGTTGCTTATGTCTGCGTTGAATAGAATTTCCCATATCAAGTAAAGCTGACTTTTCCTCTTGATCAATGAAGTCCATCACCTTGGTCTGCAGTCTCTTGAATTCTTTTATTAACTCTGTAAAGGCCCAACTAACTTCATCTCTGGCATTCTTCACCACTTTCTGTAAAGAATGGAAAAAACAAAATATAGTATATTTTCATCTATTTCCTATCTTGATTTAGGGCTCTTTCAGAACCCCCCCCCCTGTATTTCTTATAAAAGACAGACAAGTGTTAAAGTAGGTGCATGTATATGTTAAAACTCTAATTCTCTGTTTGCTATTAGCCATGTGGGTTGAAGACTAAAATATATGGGCAGTACCAGTTTACCTTTCAAAGTGTTATAGATAGGGTAAGGTAGAACATATTCAGGATTGGCTTTTAGCCTTAGGATCACTAGTTAAGAGTCTTGTCTACAGGATCCAAAGGTACCTGTGAAGCTAGTGACTTCAGAATCCATAAGGAGATATCACCACAGGGAAAGAGACAATACTGAATGGAAATGAGGATCACAATTATTTGACATACTACATTATTTTTTTATTTATGTAGTTAGGTGACTTAGAGCCAGAATGATTTAATGAATATCCTTTTTATACAACCATATTCCTGACTTCAGGATGAAAATTCCCTATTCTTTTTTCCCCTCCCCATTCTTGCCATTACATATTTCTATATTTCTGATATGGGGGGAAAAAAGACCTTGTCAAAAGAAAGTGCGCCAGTTGAACTGCTAAATGCCTTTGATTGGAAATAATACCATTGCCTTCTAAAAAAGTTGCTATACTTCAACCATCATCATTGCCATCATGTCGTACTATAAATACATGTTTTCCAACCTTGGCAACTTGAATATGTTTGGACTTCAACTCCCAGAAAAACCCAGCTAGACATACTGGCTGGGAATTTCTGGGAATTGAAGTCCACACATCTTCAAGTTGCCAAGGTTGGAAAACACTGCCATACATAGTTGGCCCATCAGCCAATACTAGGCCTGTGAAAATTGTAGCAGGCATCCTAATGGTTGGACATGCAATTCTGATCTAGATGCTAGTTCCAGTCTTGTCTGCTACTATCTCCTGATTTACTGCTGTTGGGGAAGTTGTTTTGCCCCCACACTCAACTAAGAAGCTCCAAACATCTTCCATCCACTTTTCTCACTTGCAGCTCACCATGAGGTAATTCACTCTTGCCCTATGTTTCTGACGGTCTTCTGCCAACATCAAGACCTGATTTTCCACACTGGCATGTATTCTCTGGATCTCCACCTGGGAAAGAAATGCCCCCCCGTCAAAATCAATACAGAACACTTTTGTAATCAGACAGCCTCAGAGATATACAGAATCTGTTTCTTTAGTGTGTAGGCCTTCTTGCACAAAGGCCTTCTTTCCTATAAAAATTCCTGCCAAATGCACGGATACCTGTGGAAGTGCCAACATTAGACATAGAATGTGGGGTGCTCATATATTAAAGTATAAGTTGAGTGGCATTCTTTAAAATATCTTTTTTTTGCCAAACAGCCATAAAACTTTTGTCTCAATTCAAGTTTCTACTGCAAAACAAACAAAGAGCGTACATACAGTATTACCAAGCACACCAACTTGTTATCTGTGAGCTCAGTGTGGTGGCAAAAACTTTCCTTAACACCCACATGCTCTTTTCCATCCTTGTCTCTCTCTCTTTTTTTAATGTTAAACAAAATACATATTTTGACTAGCACCAGTTTTCAGAATACAGTATTATTATTATTCCAAGAATACCCATGGATTCTGACAGAACTCAATAATTTTTGTTTTAAATCAATATGCCCATATGCCCACCCGGCAGAGCAAACTAATTGAGGGGCTGCTAGTAGTTCCATAGGGGGGAAAAGAGAGAAAATGGCAATGAACAACCTCATCTGGTAAATGTGAGTCCGGGACCCCCACTTGCTAAGGCAGCTATTTTGATTGAGAAAGAAGTTAGTGGCAGCCAATTTCCTTTAGAGTTCATGGCATGTTCTCAGAGTGGCAAATATTCCCCAAAAATTGCATTCGATCAATTGCCCCTGCTGTCAAAGCCCACACTTCCAATCCCCTCTGTGCACAGCTTCTGTATAAATTTTGCCTTTTTTTGTTATAAATCAGGTGATCTTTCTCTCGTGAGGGATGTGTGCTAACTTTAAAAACTTTTATTTATTGTTAAGGGGCAGGTTGTGTGTGCTTATTTCAAAGTACCATGACATTTTGTTTGTTGTTTTAATTTACCTGGCCTGGGATCCTCCAAATGGGTTTCCAGATCAGGAAGTTGTAATCAGAATCAGCTAGCACCAGGCTAGCAAAGACTGTTTTTCATACATATTAAGGACATCAAGGTTAGGAAAAGAAAAAAAATCCACTAGCAACTCTTTGCAGAACCCAGCCTTTGCTGTAGCAATAGAACAAGCTAAGGGAATACTTTTTATCTTGAGGTTTTTTCCCCCCTGTGTTTGAGTACAGAAACAAGATAAGGCTATAGAAATCATGACCTAAGGATGGAAGAAAATATAGCTGATGCCATAGATCAGAGGTGTCAAACTGGCAGCCCACAGGCCGGATGTGTCATGTGCAGACCACACCCACCCTGGCTCCGCAAAGGCAAAATACGTCACGATACATCACGTGATGCAATCGAGTTTGAAACCCGTGCCATAGATAGAACACATTTCAGTGATTCTGATACTCCCCAATGTGGCTGAACAACTTATAAGAATGGCTGGTAATGAACATATGGCGGAAACAGAAACACTAACCTATAATCCACAAAGTGTGAGAGGAATCTTGGCATATGAATGAACCTTACAGAGCAAGGGAATGCTGCAGAAAAGAGCAGAAATAGTAAGCATGAAAGGGAAACAATGAAAGAAGTGTGTAAATTAGGGTTCTGATCCTGGGCATCAAACAGTTGAATGATATCTCTCTTACAACCCCCAGCCCATATAAACTGAGAAGTGTAACGTATGTGAAAAACTTTCTACCTGCGATGGGCTACTTTTATAGGCTAAAATGATGAGATATGAACCTGACTCACTTCTACTACTCAAAGCTGCCTTCCATAAAAACAGAGAGGGCACACACTGATACACAAACACATATACAAAAACTGCTTACTTCTTTCTTGCTTCTTTCTTGCTTCAGAGAAATGACTTCATGGTTCTTATGCTCTTCCCGAACACAGATTTGGCAAATAAACTTGCCTTCTTCTTTGCAGAATAGATCTAGCAGCTTACGATGTTTTAAACACATGCTGCCTTTCAAGTCACTGAGAGGTTCCACCAACTGGTGGTTCTTGAAAATCTTGTCTGTGTAGTGAGATTGAATGTGGTTATCACACAGGGAAGCTATACATTGCAAGCAAGACTTGACTGCTTTTAGCTTTCGCGCGAAACAAAAATCGCACGGGACATGCTTGAAACTAGCCAGCTTCTGTGGATCTTGAGATTCCTCCCGTGCAAATCTCATTGCAATTTCTCCCAGGGTTATATTTTTGCAGAGCTGAGGTGTTGAACTCAAGGGTTCCTGGCACTGAGGGCAGTAAGGTTGTTCTCCAATAAGTGCTAGGTGTTCCCAATAAACCTGCAAGCAATCAATGCAGAAGTTGTGCCCGCAGGCTGTAGTGACTGGGTCTCTGAATACCTCTAGGCATATTGGGCACACTATATTGTCTTCAAGGAAAAGAAAGCCAATCTTCTGCATTGAAACAGGAAACTTTGTTCTTGGCTTCGATTCACACAATTTTCAGATATATCCAAGTCAGTCACCTATTAAAATAAGAATCTGTAAAACAGGGACGTTTGACCCTCAAGGGGCGCATACTATGATTTTTAAGTCCACGAGACTCAGAAATTTATAATTATGCATTCAGATGCCATTCAAACCTATTCTTACTTTGCATTCTCTCTTGCGCTCTCTTTCGCTCTACGTTTGGCAAACTAGTCCCTGTAGTTTTCCTGGAAATATTTTCAGATTTAGGCCCTAGAGGTGAGAGAAAGTGATTGGGCCAAAATCACCAGTTGGCTTCATGCCTAAAGCAGGATTGGAAATGACTATCTCCTGGTTTCTAGCTTGGTGCCTTAACCATTACACCCAAGTGGCTCTCCAATCTTATATCTAATATATATAATCATTACTTCTACTCCTCCCTCCAATGGTCATGAGTAGGTATGCTTGGAGTGGAACATATAAATCTTCTAACTGATCCTGTGGTGCTTATTGAGGTAAACCAGTAGCTTTCAATAGGGTTGCTAGAAATGCCTGAGCTTCTTTCCTTTGATTCTGGTTACCTCTGTAGACCATATTTTATGGCTAAGAACTTCATGAACTTTTGGGTCCTAGGCAGTCCATCCCTGCTACCGAAAATGGAATCAACACAATCTGAAGAACTGAAAAAATGTAATTTAAAATCATATAATAAAAAATGTATTTTCTAAAACACAGATCTGAATAGGCTTTATTTGCTAATTTAATCACCTATTAATAAACTTTTTTGTGCAACATTAATGGTTCAATCCCAAATCTACTATTTAACATTCACAAGTAAATCTCACTGTACATCTTATAATACATTATAAGAAATTGTATCAGGTTGCACTGTCAATAGCAGGATCCAAACTAGGCCTCTTGACCTGGATCAACTGACTATGAATTTGGTCTGCTGAATCCTTATAACACTTTGAAAAATAACTTATTCTCTCTACCTATTATTTTTGAAACTTGGGTTAAAAATAAAGATTTCTTTTTTTAACCTTTTTATTTTATTCAAAACAAAGTTAAAATACAAAATACAGAACTCAAAAAAAAATAAATCCAAAAGGACAAAAGGAACCCCCCACTAAACATAAAACAATAAAAATATTTAAAAGGTGAATTAAAAAAGACATTATACATATATTAAAAATAAAGATTTCAAGCCATTGTTTAATGTACACCTGCGGGATTAGCTACCTATTCCCAGCACTATTAATCACCTTAAATATAATTAATATTTATTTGCCTATGGACATCTTCAGTAGAGGAAATAAAACATCACAGTTTTTTTTCTCTATGTAAATTTGGCTGTGGTCACCCCTATTGCTCAGAACACTTTTGTGCTATTCCTTTCCATAATGGCAATGTTAGCAATAGCACCATAATCTCATTTATGTAGAGGTGAGCTCTTATCTTTCCTGTGCTTTTGTCAGTTTAAAACTAAAAAGTGTTACATTGTAGTAATATGGGAGTGCTCAGCCTTCTAACGATCCATAATCCTTCAACTTTAAAATGTCTGTGTCTATACTGCTAATGCAGTATATAGTATATGAATCAGTGGAAGATTTCTTCATTGCTTTTATTTTTCTTTAAACAATGTATATGACTGCCTATTTCACAACAATGACATCAGGCAGAGTACAGAGATTAAAAACCTAACAATTAAAAACAGCAAGCCATGACATCAAAGGTAAAGGATATCTTCCAATTATAAATTCAAGAACTGTAGTTGCCTAATCTTCTGGCCCTAGGGAAATAGCTAGGTCTTCAGGGGCTTACAAAAAGCTAACAGTGTCTAACAGACTAAAAGACACAAAAAACTGCCTGTGCCGCTGCATTCTGGGCCAGCTACAACTTCTAAATGCTCTTCAAGGGCAGCCCCATGTAGAACAGTAATCCAAATGGGAGGTGACTAAGAAGGCATGTGTCATTGTGAGCAAAGCCTCCTGGCCCAGATACTGATGTTATTGAGCTAGAAACTGAACCTCTGAACAGGACCACTTGTTGGCACTCTGTGACAACTGTATTGCTGCCCCTGCCACGAGGAAGTACCTCTGAAAGGCTCTTACCTATGTTCAATTGATTCTGCTCTTCATTTTCTCCAGTGGCATTCGAGGTGACTATTACGCTGCTTTATCACGTGGAACTCCTCTGAAAACCAAGGGGCCCTCTAGGATCCATATGCACAGAGATTACAATCCAAGCGATCCAATCCAAGCAAAGGTTACTCTCTCATTTCAAGCAACAACTGAAGCCTCAGACCATGTACCAGAAAGAACCCCACGCTTCCTTCGAATCCAACAGCGTCTATTACAGTGGTTCTCAACCTTTTTAATGCCGCGACCCCCAACCGGTTGTAAGTCGAGGACTAAACCGGTTGTAAGTCGAGGACTACCCAACCGGTCGTAAGTCGAGGACTTTCCCTGCCCGGGAGCGCCGCACATGCATGGTTCCACCCCCTGCGCCGGCCGAGGCGTAGCTGGCAAGCGGCAGAGACGGAGCAGGCTGACCACCAGCTGGCCCAGCCCAAGGGAGGTAAGGCACCCGCCGGAAAAGGTGAAAAAATGGCGGACAAAAAAAATGGCGGACAGCCTTGCTTGGCGACCCCCGTGAAATGGTCGATCGACCCCAAATGGGGTCCCGACCCACAGGTTGAGAACCACTGGTCTATTAGATGCCTGGGCAGGCGATTCACAGAGGACGTGCTTCCTTGCAACATCAGAGACCTCCAAAAGCCAACAGGGAGCTTATCTGTCTGTGGCAAGGGATTGATGGTGACATCCCCCAACTTCAGAACATATTGCCACTGCCTCTGTTGTCACTAACTGAATGCAAAACCTTGCTCAAGGATGCAAAGCCAGAATTTTATGTATCTGCATGACGTTACAGTTTTTTAATCATGTATGCTACCATGGAGCTATGGCCTTTCCCAGTATGAAAGTATATTTTGTTCTTATAACTAACAAGGCTTCTGCCTTAGGCACATCCCCTTGCGACAAGAAAAATAAGCTCAGAGTAGTTACTTAAGCAAACATTTATTTAGGAATTGTTATGAGCAGAGGCTAGAACATTCAAGACAATTAAATTATTTGGGGGGAAAAAGAGATATTCAATGGGTGTGTCATCTAGTTCATTAAGTTGTGATACTATAATTCTGCAGATTTCTCTGAGCGTTATTATCTGTACTTACCTGTTAAAAGTCAGTTGCACTTGATAAATTAACAATAGGTACTCTACTACAGCTCCAGTGATTAAAGGTTTTCAGCTGTGGTCTGGTTGTCCCACTCCTTGACTTGACTTTCCACCTGTTTGTAGCCAATCATGGGATCTGAATTTGTCAGGTGACATCATAGTTCAAACTACAAAGGAGGAGGGAGTAAAGTCCTTTGGTTATGATGTCACTGGCAAGCTCATCTAAATAAAAATATTAAGGACCAATCCCTTCCAAGATTATAGGCATCCATGATAAAAGGAAACACTACTACATGGTTTTTAATATAGCATGCATAGACCCCAACATCTTGTTGCATTGGTATCAAAAAGACAAGAGATAAATAAGCCATGGTTTCTTTCATTCATTTTTTTAATTGGAAAAGCCCTTTTTGTATGGATTTATCATTCTGCCTTAGGAAGTTATTTATATTGTATATAAATAGCTCCCGTTTATCAGCCTGCTTGGCCATATTACATATTTATCTATTGTTTGTAGAATCAGGATCACTGCCACCACAGATGGCTATTCTGAAACAGAATCCCTAATCCCACAATACACCCAACAGTGATTTTATTATGTTACCAAGGAATAAACTACATTCATCATAAAAAATTATCTGAAGAATCTGTTTATAAAAAATATCTTCCAAAAACCACACAAACCCAAGCATGCAGATATACTGTATACTTTTTAAGTTTTTGAATTTAAGACCCCACTTACAAACAATGCTATTGGGAAACGTACAATTATGATTACTATTAAATAATCGCTTCGTTCTCCCTTTTCAGTGAAAAGAAGCTGTAAGTCTTCACTCAAAAGTAAGTTTTCACCCTTACTTTGATAGCAAGAATTTTTAATTAAAAGCAAAAGCAGAACATGAGTGCGTCTAGAGAACCTCTGTGTAAAAGACCCTCAATCAGGAAATACCAGGAAAGCAGCAAGATACAAAATAAATTCAGAAAAAAAAACCCAAGCACAAGTCATGTCAGAATCTTTATTGGAAAAAGAAATCACAGCATCTCCATTATTATTCAAACACATTTAATAAACCAAGAGAAACAGTAGCAAAGGGCACCGACATGTGACAAACTGTACAAAACCTCTAGGCTTGCAAGCAAAACCTGAGGGTGAGGAGCCCACGGCCCAGCTGTGAAGGTCCGAGGAACCACCCCCACCCCTTTGTGGATAACCCCCTCTCCCTCGGACCATTCAGTCACCCCTGAGAAAAATTGATTAAAAATGTGCAGAAACAAAGACACTTTTAAGAGGTTAGCTCCATCCAACCTTGCTGTAACGGAACAATTGGGCCGCTGGGTTTCTGAACCAGGTACTGGTCCCCAGGGGCTAGCTAATGGTTTAAAAAAACCTCAAGAGATGCACATCACTCAGATGAAAAGCCATCCCACCACTGGCTTCCTTTGCCATTTATTGCCTTTCGTGGGGAAATAGTATCTGTATTCATGTTCCAACTTTAGTCTCAACCACATAAAGGCAAAGGCAAGGAAGAGCCCTGTTGCTTAAGAAGGCAAAGTTACAACTGGTGGAGAACATGAAAGCCGATTCTTGAATCTAACAGGGTCCGAAGGTGGCCTCTCATCTTGAGAAAAGAACATCCCAGGTGGGTGAGCTAGAATAGTGTCTTGCTGTAGTTGGAATTCAAGCCCTTATATTAAGAAAGCCGAGAGCTTTCCCAATCCCTAATACTGTTTCTGTCTCCAACTAAACTGCTCAACATTTCAGGGAGGGTTCCCCCAAACCATAACTAGAAATATTTAACAAGGGAAAGAAAAGAGAAGATATTCATGTTCCAACAAAAAACTAGATTTGCTGAAAACCTCTCACAACTTGTCAGCAGCAAGTGAACAAGAGGGTGGCCCTATTTATTCAGCAGAAACACTGTTTTTCTCTGCATTTAGCTCAAATCCTGCTGTAACAGAGCAGCCTCATCTCAAATCTGATTTTATTCCAGATTTAAATGGAGCTGTTTTCAATGGCACTACATGTACAACAAAACGAGATTACTTTTACCAGTTCATTATCTTGACATCAGGCACTCTTCCAATGTAGCTTCCCCGTGCGTGGTGTTTCTGGTGATCGTAACATAAATCAATGAGGTATTTCTTTTAGTTTACTAAAGCTACACAGTAAAGATCTGCTTCCAAGCAAACCTAACACTGCTACGTGCCCAGCAAGGTGGGGGATCAGTTGGGTTAGGCCAAGTTGGAAATGGCAGCTATTCTTTGCAGCATCCTCTGATTTTTTTCTTTCAACTAGTTCATGCCACCATAATCTCCCTTCCCTGGAAGGAGAGATTATGAGGATACTTCTGTGGTTCTTATACTTCCTCACAATACACACACAAACACATCTGCTTATTTCTCAGCTGTGGACATACACTGACAACGGCTGAAAGAACAAGATACTCATAGATTTATGTACACATCACAGTGTTAGTTAAATCCAGCCATGACATACACTGTCTGACCATGCCAATACCCACATATTACAGACGGGAAAGATGAAGAAGGACAAGAAAGTTGATTGAATTCCACAGAGTATGAAGCTGGTTGAGTTTAGCAGCCAGAAGCTGACCTCAAGACCTTTGGTACAGTCTGTTGCTACAGGGACTGAATAACGCATCTAACCCATCAAAATATTACTGGAGGTATGTTGGCAAAATGGTGGGGAAGCTCAGTGATATATGTACACAAATACTGAAGATTAATGGAGAATGTGGAGCAGGATAATTTGGTACCCTGATAAATTTCATTTTAAAACATTTTTTGCTTCATCTGCATTATATCTTCCATGCTTTCAGTAACCATTCACTATCCTCTTTGTTCCCACTCCTTTTGTAACTAGGAAGAAATAAAAGGGGAAGCCTCATTACCACACACCATAAAACATGAAAAAGACACTGAGTGCAACTCCTTACTGAGAAATTCCAAGCAAACCAATCGGAATATAAGGGATCCCTATTCCGATCACTGACTAATGTGGGAGCTTCAATTATTGCCTAGGGAGAACCAAAGCACTGCAGTTTCTTTTGATACTTTGGTTCATTATGCTCAGAGCTTAATTCAAAGGCCCAGAAGCTAAAGATGACTAACAAGAAACAAAGCCAGAATGTAGAGAAAATACTTCTGGAATTCCATTTACCAACAACTAGAAGGGACATTTCACTGATTAGGGATGGCACAAAATAATTGACAAAATCAGCAAGTCCCATTTGTCTAAGATTAGAACTCAGAGAGGCACAACATTGTTACTTCCATTCAAGGCATTCCAACAGAAAAAAAAAATACAGAAGTTCACAAATCACTTTGGACAAGAAACATCACAATAGTTTGGCAACTATCATCATTTTACACTTCCCTTCCCCACCCCCCTCCCCAACCTGTGCAATGCCCTTTAGTCATTTTGGGTGAGAGGACACAAGGGGGGGGGGGGTGAGAAATTTCAAGCACAGAATCATAATGTGTAAATAAAAGACTCTCTATCCCTGGACGTATTGGGTAAGAGTTGATAATGCCTACCAAAGTAATTAGAGTACAAATGAAAACCTGCTTTAATGCAGGACATCAAGAGAACAAGGGAATAGTTTCATGCTATTGAAGACAAGGCAAAGCTGAACTTGGCAGGAACAAATCTTCCATATCGAAGAACTGTTTGAAATAACCCAAAGGACACATTCTAGATTTGGCGGGAGAAATGGGGCATAAGCTTCCTTCTTTTCCCTTTCTTTTCACAAGAGGACAGGAAACAATACAACAGAATCTAAATATCACAGGTAATTGGACACCTTAAAAGCATGAAGGATGCTGACCAAACTGTACTGCAAGAAATGCCTACAGTTAGATTTGTAGTGTTATTGGAAGAAAAACCCGTCAGCTAATATCACATCCCTCACTCAACTTTCTTATTTAACAGCTCTGAATGAGTAACGTATTTTTTTTAAAAAAAAAAAGGTTGGTGAGTGAAAATGGAGGAAGAATATTTAATTATTCATTTTCAAATCTATTTTCCCTGGACCTGAAGGACTGTAACTAGGCGCTCTCCAGCTGGAAGATTCTCTTCTTTTCTCTTATAGCTTTCTGTGACTGGGGTGGGATGAGCCTTTGGTTTTTACCAGGATTTAATTCTCCACTGGCAGGACAGGCTCAGCTTTGCTTTGTGTTAGTTTTATTACTGTACAAAAGCAAGGTTGGACTGCAGGAGAAATTCTCTGCCCAGCTAAGTTGCCCTTTTTAACATCTGGGAGTTTTAAAGTTAAATGCTTGGATTACATCCGGGATCCTCGCTCCTGAAGAATCTGAAAAAAAAAGAGAAGCATTTCATTTTAGAAGCGTTTCTTGCAACGTTAAAAAAGAAAGCTGGAAAACATGCTACCTCTCTCAAGATCTGACGTACAGGCACATTTGTATGAGAATTTATTGTACTTCCAATACATTGATTCCAAGTCATCAAGAGTTGTTTTTTTTTGTATGTCATATCTAGCATATTGTGAACAGAAATCCCAAAAATTCAACAGAGTGCATCACAGTATTCCAACCAGGATATAGTTAAATTATATATTATTGCAGCCTGATACTGATATTTTAACCATACAAAATATACTAGCCTGCTGTCAAAATTTGGGCATGCAGAAAGATACCTGAGTTTTGAATACAAGCCTTCATGGGGAGCATACCTTGTAAAACACAAGTTGGTTTGCTTTTCAAATGATCAGGAATACTTTGTATTGTTTGGATTAAACATCATTTTGTTTAACAAAATAGTTTAACAATGACATCTGTCATCAGTTTAGAATCATGGATTCTACCAGAAAAAAAACTCTCAGCGCCAGCTTCTAAAACTGCTCCTCCAAAAATAAGCAAAGCCATTATAAAAGTGCCTCCAAATTCCATCCTAATCAAGAACTCAAAAAAAATGGCTGGTATTTCAAGATTTGATGTTATAGATTAAGATGAGTCATATGCCAAGAGGGGGACTAGAATTCTGACCGGCTTGAGCAAATTTATATACAAATAGTCCTCATTTAGCAAGTTACTCCTTAATAGAAATTTCCTTTTTTGATCAATGTGGGCATTTAAGAACAACAAAAGCTTTCAGAGTGAAACTGATTAAGATCTGGTCAGTTTCAAGCAGCAGCTGCCAGCAATGGCAGAGTTCTAATCAACAAATTTAGGGTCCCAGAGCTGTTTAAGGACATTAAAAAAATCTTTTTTTAAATGAAGCAGCAAAAGAATGATTAGAAGTTGATTTTGGAAAGTTATAAATGGATTAGGAGATTTGAAATAAGATTTCATTGTGGAAATCCTTCCCATAGGACAGTCTTGTTTTAAATTCTGAAAGAAAATACAATAGGATGGGAATTTGAACGCTGGACATCGGGGGAACAAGAGGTAATTATAGATTACAATGAAAGGAAAATAACATTTAATTTTGGCTTACTAACACAGGGTGGGACAAATTATTTTTAATACTGGACATATTCAAGGATTTTTGTGAGTAATGGATCCGCAAGTTAATCTTAAAAGTGTCTGCCATTATAGATAGATGGCTTTTAAGAGACATTGCAGAAGAGGACTGGGACTGATTTGAAAGTTGATTTCAAAATGACAGCCTGCAAGAATAATATGGAAAAAAATGTTACACTGAGTGTAGAAATAAAATTGGCTGATGTTTTAATAATTGAAAAGGATGTGCAATTGGCAGGCCCCAAAAAAATGTCTTCAATAATTTTCTAATATTGGATTTGCAAAAGACATGTTAAAATTCTGAAAGAAATGAAAAGAAAACCAGCTCTAGGAAATTATCAGGGTTAAAAATTATGATTGTTAAAAGTAAAAGAAAGGAATATAAAGTGGGTTTATTCGATCAAGGTTAAAATAGATATGTTGTTACTTTTGGCATTTCTTAATGGACTTTTGCTTGCCAGGACTGAATGAAATTGTTGTAAGGATCTGGTTATAGACGTAAGACGAGATATGGGATGAAGTGATTTTTATGGTGGCATTTTAAGAGAGAGAGAAGTTAAAATTGTTTATACTTGTTACGACAAAGAGGAAAGTTATTTTGTTATATATTTCCCCTTCTGCTACATGTTTATTTTTTATTTTTCTATCTATATATTTTTCCTGTACTCTCCATTTTTAATTTTTATTCTTTTATCTTTTGTAGTTTGTTTTTGTTTTGTTTAAATATGTTTAATAAAATTATTATAAAAATATCCACTTGTTATCTATTTTTCTGCCATTCAATAAACAGAGAAATGGAAGGATTCCAATCACAACAGGCTTCTCACCTTTGCTTTCTCACTAGGCTCTATGACAATGCCATTGGTCGAATTATTGAGCTCTCTTGATACAACACAGAGAAATTCTGCCTGATCTTCATTTCCATAGTTGTATGAAGATCCAATACTAATTAACTGTTAAAAAGGAAATGATATGTTAAAAATAGCAATATGAGATGAATATAAGATCAGTCTTATAAGTTTATTCTAAAGTATTATTTAAATTTATTCTCATCGCCAACAATTGAGAATTACAGATTTGCAAGAGAAGTACTTTTTAACTTCCTTTAACATTTAGAAGGTGAAAAAGCATGCTCATATTATGCCTTTGAACTCTAAAAACAGTATGATGTACCATGTGACTTCCCTGTCAGATCAAAATACTAACAGATTTTCAGTTTTGTTATGCAACTATATACAGGTGTACCAGATGTTCGGTCTTATACGTAAATCACAATGTTTTATTAATTAATATTTTTTCAGAGAAAGTGTTACTGTATTTAGGAATGTTCAAAGCTCATGCATAAAAAAGGGCATGTTTAGGAGACAATGGTGACCAATTTGATCACTGAATGCAATTCATATAATAAACTGTTTATAGGGCTCAACATGGTACACCCTGTACATCTATTGATTCTATTTGCAGAAACAGCACCAATCACTTCTATATTAATTACTCTCTCCTTCTTTCTACTATTATTTAAGCAATATGGTATCAATATTATTTAAAATAAAGAATTATGTCACTAGGAACTCCAGAGATAGCTGGGTAAAACACCAAATATTAGGACTATTCCATGCTGTGGGGTGAACAGCTGTTCATGTATTCTAGCATTCAAAAAATATAGAAACCAGGCTTTGCAGATTTAGCTAAAGCTGCAGCACCAGTCATTCATGCAATACCAGTCAAAAACACCTTCAAATAAATGAATAAATGTATCTTTTCCTGAGGTCATGTGGCAGCTGTGAAGGGCTGCTTTATGAAGTTCCTGACAGATGCTACATATGTGCTTCTTTATGCTTTTAATCATATTTTGCTCCTTGAAGTCAGATCTTTGTGCAGCTCTAACAACAATCATCAAAACAGAAATCCAGCAGTTATAGCAAATTGAAACAAAATCAGGAGAATGTTTTAAATTGTAGGGAACAGAACTACCAATATCTCAAAGGTGCTTTTTTCAAGAGGCAACTGGACTTTCTTGTTTTTTCTTTGAAGACATTTTGCTTCTCATCCAAGAAGCTTCTTCACCTTTTTTTTACACCTAATAATCAGGCTACAATATAGAATTTTCATTAGATGTATACTTATGAAAATTCAAAATTGGCACTAACTGATAGCACTGATCAACCATTACAGTAAAACTAAGTAAAGAATGCCAAGGTGACTAAAAATCAGGCTTCTGCAAACAACAGGCATATTTCCACCCAGCATCATTGGTTAGTGAGATGAACAGCATATAAATATGATAAACAAACAAACAAACAAAATGACATAATATATTCAGTGAATTGGCCCAACTTCTGAACCTGTTAACATGAAATACCTGTTCAAATTTCCATCCATCAGACATAGTAGACACCATCTGGGTCAGTTCTTCTTCTTGGCACTGCAGAACTCGGTAAACATGCTTGACAGGTCCCTGGGTTAAAAGAGGGGAAACTAACAAGTTAGAAATCAGGATTATGAGTTTTCTAAATAATAGTATATCATTGAAATGATGGTAATACTATTATATTAAGATGGAGGAGGCTCATAAAAAACAAAGATGTTTAAAAGTGTTTAAAAGCATGCTTCTAGCCACCACAGTTGTTAAAACCTAGAAAGGGAAAGGGGATGTTTTTGTGAAAGACTTAAGAAACCAATAATATCTTGTGAAGGAGATCCCTATAACACAGCTCTTATGCCACAGAGAACACACAAGCCTGTCATATCAAGTGGTAACATATGTTAGGACATGAGGGACCCAATACATTTATTTTCTTTCTAATGTGAATTACTTGAGAAGTTCTGCTTTCATTGTCTCGTATTCGCTCTTTCACCAGCCTCACTAGAGATGCAATGTTGTAAAATTCAGCTTCTTCCAGGACGCCTGCAAATAAGGATGCAGAACATGGCTTCAGTATTTGTAAGAAGGAAATGTTGCTATACATCTATATTAACTACAAAATCTCTTGATCAGAAAGCTTTCAGATCTGATCTTGCTGCATGTCTGAAATTGGAGAATATATATAATTTATAATTTAATTCAGGACATTCTTTATTTGAACAGTTGTGTGCCACAACTCAGGTTTTTTATTGTCTGAAAAGCCACAGAGGAACAGCCATAGATGTTGGGATGAATTTTTTTCAGCTTGTGTTTTGAAAATCTAAGAATGTGGATGGAAACATAATCTTTAAGCTACCAAAATATTGAAAAATATGCTTTTTTAAGGATGAGGCAAAACTGCACTGCTTATTTGATTATCTTAATGGCAAATTCTCTTTTTTAAATTAGCTTTATTTATCTTAGCAGGTTTTACAGAAAGAAGTAGAAAAAAAGAAAGACAATTATATGAAAAAAAATATCAACAGCCAATATAACAGCAAAATAAAAACAAGTGATAAAACTGTACAGATATATATCACATTTTCATTAAATGTCTAATCAATTTCTGGTTTGTATTTTAATATATCATGGTCTCCTAACATTACAAAATGTCATAAAATCTATGCCAAAGGATCAATTATTGAGTTATTTTTTTGATTGGGAGATAAAATTGCCTTTTAAAAAAATAGATATTACATATCTCTTGAAACAAAATCTTAATATTAGAAATGTTACCATTTTTCCAATTTCTCAAAATAATTCTTGCTGCCAAATTCTAAAGGCATAGTTTCCACAACACTAAAGGCTACAAATATGCCATTTGGCGGCCAAATGACACTCATGAGCTGTGCACTTATTTAACTCAACAAATAATCTGGAAATCAACAAAATGATATAAAAATATTTTGTTAAGCACAATTCCAGCAAAACTGAATAAAAATCAAGAAGCACCTTGTGAATAAAACTCCTTATGATGATAACCTAGAGATTCAAGAAACGTTTTCTCTTTTCATTCTCTTTATGAAAAGAAGCTTGTTTTTATGGGCTATGTTCCATTAGAAAGCAATGCTAATATAATAGTCCCTAAAATAAGGCTCTAATGAAAGCACTATCAAGGATGCCTCCCTGCATGGTCATAAATACATGCCTATTTGAACAAGTTGATTTTGTATTGTTTTTCCACAGTGCAATCTGAGTAACATAGCCTTTCTATTGTATTTTAAAGACACATAGATCACATAGACACATTTAATCAATGAGATTAAATACATTTAATTCTGGGCTCAGGCAAGACCAACCTCCATTAATACTACTACTGTAATACTAATTTATTAAATTTGTATGCTGTCCGACTCTCAACAACTCTGGCTGGAATTAAACATCCCTAACTTTCAAAAGAGATTTATACATTTTTCTTACCTTCTTCTGCCAATTCCTTGTTTATTATGAGTTTTCCATGCCGGAGGTAGTTCAGGATTGGACCAAAATATGTGGGATCCCTATCAATGAGATATGCCCCTGTTTCATCCTGTTAGGAGATATCATTCTGTTATAGTCTGCTGCTCAAGAAAGATATTCCAATGGCATTCAGACATTTGGACATGGAACCAACTGTCATGAATCTGAGAATATGGTTCTCTGAGAAAGAAGCCAAATTCTTGCATCAGTGGATATCTTATTCTACATTTGCTTGTGTTAGATGATTCTGTGGCATAATTAAAAAAAGATAAGACTGTGGCCTATGCATCTTGGCAGTATCTCACTAACTAGAAAATTATGTGTTTATTTACTTGGAATAATCTGCTCTTAATTATGTCATAAGCTTTTCCCCAAATTAAATTAATGCACAAGAAAAAATAAACATAATTGTACTGATTATCATTACTATATCCTATTTTTATCACTTGAAATATAATTCATTCTATGTATCTAACAAATCTGAGTTATAAATTACATCAGCACTTTTTGGTAACCTAAAAATATTCTTTACAAAGATACATCCAGAATATTTAGTTTTTTTGTTCTATTGGCTCAAATTTTACTTGGAAATGTATTCTACTGAACTTAGTGGACCTACTTAGCTAATTATCTTGGAGACTGATCTCAAAACTCCATTAACAAAAACATGCAATCTGTAAAGATTTGTACAGCTTATTTCTTGTGAAAACAGTTGATCTCAATGGGGCTTACTAAGTAAACACACAAGGACTGTATCACTCAGAAGGGTAAATAAAGACCACAAATTTGATATCTCTCTATAACTATTATACCTTTTCACTATAATCTAAAGCACTGTATTTAAAATTAAATTCTAAGGAACACAATTATGTAAGGTTTTTTTATAGGACATTTAGAATCCTCTGCATTGACATTATAAGTGATTATATGCTAAAGCAACCACTCTAAATATACTTTATCTTGGCACACAACTTTAAGTACTGGAGAAAGAAGTTGCTTTGTATACAGATATTGATTTTTTTTTTTAAAAAAATCATTACTTATTTTATAGATGTGAAACTGAAAAGCTGTATGAGAGAAAAAGTTAGGTCTCAAGCACAGTGTATAATTTATCTACTAAATCCCTTTTCTACTGCTTAGGGTTAAAGTACCTTTTTGTTACCCATAACTTTCAATGGGTTTATGCTACGGCTATACTGACAACAAAAAGCACTTGTTAAGAAGAGGTAAGATGGGGTAGGAAAAGTAGAATGTGGGGCATTGAATTGGCAATCAGAATCCTTCCTCACTTTAACCCTTCTAGCAGAACAAGCAACAATTAGCAAGTGGAACCAATGGGATTTTGAACAGCTATTAATAAATAAAGCTTTCCTCCACAGCAATAGGGGTGAATTCAAATTCAATGCATTTGCAGTACTGAAAGGCTACAAAGGATGAAGATATTAGTCTTGATTCTGAAGGATATAGGATATAATACATTATACAGACATTATAAATACATGTATAACATTATAAATATGTGTATGCATATTTTAACCATTTCTAATTGCACTATTACCCCAAGGTAAATAGATTATATTTAAGTTATTTACTGACAATACCTTCATTGTTGAAGTGTTTGATTACAGATTAATATTCGTATTTAATACTGGTTGAGAGAAAAGCTATACAAAGACAGTGCTTTCAATTTGTTTTCTGTGTTCAGGCTAATCCTAAACTTTAAATAGAATGCTAAACATCCTGGTTTACAGCCACAATAATTAAACCAAGTCGTTACAAACCACGTCATACCTTAAATGCTGTGAGCGCAACCATATTAACATGCTGTGTACTATAAATCAGTATTGCTTATTAACAATGGCTCAGCATCTTCTGTAAACACTATCAATGCAGAAAAGAACAGCACAGCAAATCAAGGACTATGGTGTGTGTGTGCGCGTGCGCAAATAACCTATGCCCCATTTTTAGATGCAATCTAGAAGTGTCACTATGCTGTACATCCCTTGTCCCCTCCCCTATTTTTTCATGAGGGGAAACTTAAGGGCTAAAATCTATAGTTATGGTAAAACTGGAGTTCTGCAAGGAACTTGGCCTCCTTCCAGAAATTACGACTACTCCATTACACCCCAAAAATTAGGGTTGCCAGGTGTCCACTATTTGAGTGGACAGTCCGCTTTTTTCACATTATGTTCACTATTTTTTTTCACAAAACAGTGGACGTTTTTTTTTTATTCAAAAGCTTTATGATGAAATGGTACGTAATCTAAAGCTGTACAGTCTACTTTTTTTTACTACTTAAACCCCCCCCCCGCTTGTTAGGGTTGCCAGGTCTGCTTCCAAAAAATAGCGGACAAGCGGCGGGGGGAGGGGGGTTAAGTAGTAAAAAAAAGTAGACTGTACAGCTTTAGATTACGTACCATTTCATCATAAAGCTTTTGAATAAAAAAAAACGTCCACTATTTTGTGACCAAAAAATAGTGAACGTAATGTGAAAAAAGTGGACTGTCCGCTCAAATAGTGGACACCTGGCAACCCTACCGCTTGTCCGCTATTTTTGGGAAGCAGACCTGGCAACCCTACCAAAAATGCAGGAAGGCGGCTAGGAGAGCGAACAAGAAGGGCGAAAACTAATATGGCCGGAGACGCGCACAGGCCCTTCAGTCTGGGTGTGCCGGCCTATAGGCATGGGGGGGGGG